GCAGTTCCTTTAATCCTGGTTTATAAAGAGCTGAAAGGGCATCCAAATGAAGTCTCAGAACAATCACTACCACCCAACCTCACTGACACCATGGAGCCTGCTCCCCATATCCAATCCAGAACAATCATGTAAGTGGAGCCTTTTCCAAAGTTCTATGTTACTGGGTCACAGTGAGATGGAATCTATGTGGAGATGGAACTGAGGGAAAGCCCTGAGTATGAATATACATGTTAGGTAGGACACTTCAGAGTCAGAGAAAATTAGCAAGTCCAAAATATGGCATTTCAAGAAGGAGAAGACAGATCAACCAACCAAGAATATAACTTTTACCTGAGAAAGAGCCATTCCTTTCTCTTCTTTCTTTCCTCTTCCTCTGGGTTTCTTTCTCAGGTAAGATCAGTCTGTATGACAAAAATACGTCGTTTTAATGCTTAAAATCAATATACTCCCTTCCTCAATCACACACACACAGAAGAGGCTTAATATAGAGAAAAAAGATAGTCCTTAGCTCCCACTGCAACAAGAGGGAAAATGAACTCATGCCACTCAGAACGCTGAGGCAGGAGAATCACTTGAATCTGAGGCAGAGGTTGCAGTGAGCCAAGATCAAGACACTGCACTCCAGCCTGGGTAAAAGAGTGAGTCTCTGTCTCAAAAGAAAAAAGGAAAAAGCATTTAAACCTCATAAGCTGAACAATCCATTTAAGAGAAAATAAGCTGAAAAAAAAATTAAAATCCAGTAAATTCCGGGATTACATTTAATTCAAGTTTCAGTGAGTATACGTCAAATTTAGAAAATGACATAAGCCACACACAAAAAAGGAGGGAATAATATTGTTAATGTCTGTTTGCAAAAGCAGCATACGGTGTCAGTCTCTCCCCATTTCTTGACTCTCTTCTTTCAAGATCAGAGAAAGCGAAGAGGGTGCGCTGGAATTAACTGAGCTAAGTCAGTTAACCCTCTGGCTGAATAAGGGTTTCTTCTGATGTCATAATTAGAAAACTCAGAAGCTTCACACCCTAGTTTTGCAATTTTCATTATCTTCTGCATAAACAATGAAACAAATTTTAAATGAATTATACAACCACATATCAGTACTTCACAACTTAAAGTTCCATATTAAATCAACTCCACATTTACCTGGATTTGGGTCTCCCCTTTTCTCCACCATTATGTGATTTTTCCCCCCTCTGTAAACGTCTCTCTCCCACCTTCTGTTTCTTCCTTTTTCTTTTTCCCATTTCTGCGTTTCCCTATCCATTTCTGATTATTTTGATTCCCTTCCTCTCTACTCCTTTTCCGACAGCGTGTTTGGCCCCATCCTGGTAACATACTTTTTTTCGGTCCCTGTTCTTCTTTCTGATTGCTAATTCCCCGCATTTCTCCCTCTTTCTCCTCCATTTTTGCTTTCCCTCTGCTCTCCCTGGAGGGGGGCGAAGGGTGTGCAGCCACCCCCAGTGAGGGCTTTACCAGGGGGAGGGAAGAGGGAGTCAGAGAAGGGTTCTAAGCAGAGATACGGCGCGTTGGGCAGCCTGTGTCCAAATTGACTCTAACGCAAAAAGATTGGAGCCATAGGCACCCCGTTCAGAACGATTTTAAATCCGAAATGGACGGAGACCTCGAGACCCTCTCGGGGCGACGGGACTGGGAACGTCTTAGGGCCACACCGCGAGAAGAACAGCAGCTTCGGTGTTTTAACCTACAGGGCAACCCCAAAACTTTACAGCAGAGCGTGGGAACCTAGCGTCCACGAAGCGCAGGCTTGAACCCGAAAGACTGAGACTCGCTTACCTGAGCGTGCCCGTCGGTCCGCGAGCTCCACTTCCGGATCTGCCGGAAGCTGCGCGTGCGCAAGCGCACTTAGGGCGGCACAAAGGGCAAGGGCAGGAGCTGGGCGCCGACGCTGCGGGGATGGGCGGGAACAATGGCAGAATGGCCCAAAACAATAGGACATGAAACACCAATATGGGATAAAATAGCGTAAGGTAATAACCAAATTCTTACAAATGTTACATGACCTATTTACATCTATTCATAACTGAGTTAAAGGAATTATCCTTAAGACAATATTTGTGTAACTAAATTAAAATGTGACAAATACAAAAATTGGAAACTCTAATGGATGTATATTATATACTTTATAAATGAAAATTTTAGAGTTTTTTTTAAAGATTCCTTTGGAGTTTTATCTGAATATCATTAAGTTTGTACAGTATTGATATTTTAGCAATTCTTGTCTTCCTGTTCAGGAAGATAGACTGTGGCTCCATCAAGCATTATTTAACCCCCCTTTATACATCTTAAGCAGAGACCATATCAGAGGACACATTTGAGCCTGCTAGCTCCTCTCTTTAGCTTGTTATTATAAAGTTACCTTTTCCTTAGATGCCACCTCCCTAACATCAGGAGGAAAAACAGGCTCACCATAATCAACAGACTATGGGAGTCTTCAGTCGAGAAACAATTTACTGCTCCCATGAAGCCCTGCACTTTCAGAATTACAGAAAACATGTTTGTTCCAGTGACAACCGTTTAGCTACGCTGTTTCTGTAAGGAATTACATGATTCCTGTGGAATTAGTCTATTCATTACAAGCATGGTGATATTATAGCCACATGCTTAGCAATCCTGAAATTTTACCCTGTGATTTCTGTTGGGCAGGTGGCACAGCAGGTTGATTTTAGCACCACAATCCTTAAGAATGCAGCCGAGCCGGGCGCGGTGGCTCACGCCTGTAATCCCAGCACTTTGGGAGGCCGAGGCGGGTGGATCACGAGGTCAAGAGATCGAGACCATCCTGGTCAACATGGTGAAACCCCGTCTCTACTAAAAATACAAAAAATCATCTGGGCATGGTGGCGCGTGCCTGTAATCCCGGCTACTCAGGAGGCTGAGGCAGGAGAATTGCCTGAACCCAGGAGGCGGAGGTTGCGGTGAGCCGAGATCGCGCCATTGCACTCCAGCCTGGGTAACAACAGCGAAACTCCGTCTCAAAAAAAAAAAAAAAAAAAAAAGAATGCAGCCGGGTTTCACTATTACAACAGATTGATTTCAGAACGTTAGTCCTTAAGAATGTAGTCAGGTTTCGCGGTTAATAGGTGAAACACCGACACTACAGGTCAGTGTGGATTCTGCCAAATTACATCAGGGGCCCCAAGGGATTGGTGTGGGGCTGGGACCCCACTTCTCTTTAGTAGCTCAGCTCATGCCTCACAACTATTCCTCTTTTCTCTGTGATTTGGGGACTAGACCAGTTTTCAATCTAGAACAATTTCTTATTATAATATGATAACTTACCTGGCTTCTGAGAGGCACCCTTCCCTACAGACTGAAATAGAAACTTTCTCCCCAGCTGCATTTTGCTGCTAGGATGGTGGGCTCAGTGCGGAGGTTGCCCCAGCCAGGATGGTGTGGGAGGGAAGCAGCCAGACCCTGAGATATGGGTTTGCGATGCTGTGACCTCACCTCCCCTCAGAACTGCAATTATCTTTTCACCTGCAGTGGCAACGACAGTGTAGCCTTGGGGAGCTGAGAAGGTTTGGGAACAACGTTTGTTTCCCAATTGCTAATCACCAAAAGCAATGACAAGTTTCTGGGTCGCATCTCTTCAGAGACTATGAGGAGTGTTTGGGAGAGACCCTCTCTTTTCCATTCCCCTGGAGGGAGTCAGTCTCAGATGGAGGCAGCAGGAAACACTGAGTTCTGACCTGTGAGACATGAGCAGTGAGGGGCGTGTGCCCCTAGATGCTCTGCTTTGCTGGGAAGTTCTGCCCAAAAGTGAGTCCTTCCCTAATCTTCATGCCGCTGAGCTGAGCATCATTAGGTTATGTGCAGAGAAGTGAACCCAGACAGAGTCCCTGAGGAGGATTCTCAAAAGGACAAGCAGGGTGCCAACCGCTCAATCCCAATTAGTTTGGAATCTAGATGATGTGGTTCAGAAGGCTCAAAAGTCACTCCTTGATCAATCCAGGAAAGCAAATGATACTTACTCGATTCAAGAGCGTTGGATGGTCACCACAGCCCTCTACAATTTGTGCATGTGTATGTGTGTTTTTTTTCCTGAATCTTCAGTAATGATCATGGGTTGCTCTTGTAATAAATTAAATATAAAATGTGAATTCAAATTAATGCTTTATTTTTCCTACAAACATATGTTCAATTTATTCAGGCCTTGCATTCAATGCATCTCAATTTCTGCGTCAGGGATTAGAGCCATGGGTGAACAACCCCTACCATACATACACACGTATGTTCACACACGGATGTAAACACTTGCAGACATGCGCAGCAGCACAAATCAAAGGAACGTCACATACACGTTCCATCACAGGCTCACACCCACCCACACACCAACCAAACACAAACCCACAGTCATATTCTAACACGCTCACTATGCCCTGCACTCACATAGTCTCACGCAGTCCCATTCGCCTTTAAAAACCACACTCGTGGGCCGGGCGCGGTGGCTCAAGCCTGTAATCCCAGCACTTTGGGAGGCCGAGGCGGGTGGATCACGAGGTCAAGAGATCGAGACCATCCTGGTTAACACGGTGAAACCCCGTCTCTACTAAAAATACAAAAAATTAGCTGGGCATGGTGGTGCGTGCCTGTAATCCCAGCTACTCAGGAGGCTGAGGCAGGAGAATTGCCTGAACCCAGGAGGCAGAGGTTGCGGTGAGCCGAGATCGCGCCATTGCACTCCAGCCTGGGTAACATGAGTGAAACTCCGTCTCAAAAAACAAAAAACAAAAAACAACAAAAAAAAACCACACTCGTGGAGTCAGCACATGCATATGTATCTTGAGACCAGGTTCCTGTCTGGAGAATAGTGGCGTTCATGCCCCTGTTATGATTCAGCCTTTATACTTCTCACTTTGCATGACTCCTGATGATGACATCACCACGTGCAATGTATAAAATGATGTGCACGTTGCTACTTTGGGCCAAGGTATTAAGTAGAAAAGTTGGAGTATTAGGGTTGATACGGCATGGACGTGTGATGGAGGGTCTGATGTTGCATGGGTCTGTGACAGAGTGTGACAATGCACAGGTTTGTGACATAGGGTAAATATGGGGGCTCCTGAAAAGGATGTCTTTGAGGCAGATCACCTGTCAATGCAGGGGATTGATGGTGAACAGGAAACAGAGCACAGAGGCTCAAAAGTCACAAGGAGGTTAACTTTCAGACAGTAAAGTATGCTGCAGGTTTTAAGGGTGCCTAGGGGAAAAGCGTGCAAGGAGCTAAGCGTATAGGGGATACTAGATGCTGTGGGGACAAGGAGTGCCAGGCTCATGGAACGAAGGGAGATGACGGGGATATAGAGATAATGAGGGAAGTTGCGTAAACAGCGGGAGCGGGTTCAAGGCACAGGAGGCTTAATGTCTAAGGAAGGTTGAAGAAAATGAGGGGAAGGGAGGTAACAGGTGGAGTGCACAGGTCCTGGGAGTAGTCAGTGGCCCAAGGTGGAGATGGGGGTGGGAATGGTGGAAGGAACTGTGTGTATGTTGTGTGCCTGGGAGGAAAATGAGAGCAGGCTATGAGAGGAGCTGGAAGGTCCCTTCTGCCGGCATTTAGACTACCCCAGAGCTCCAAAGCCATTCCCCCCGGCTAACCTAATTGTGGTGTAATCACATATAAGCTAATTACCTCTCCCTCTTTCTCCAAGTGTTAGTTATTCTGTTCCTAGCACTTTGATTTTATCACACCTGTGTGCGTCCGAAACAAATAATATAATTTGCTGTTTGCCCTTCCCATAATTTTTAGTATTACCTAGAACTATGTATTTTGAACAACATACACGATTTTCTGCCTGTCTACAATGTTCATACATAAGCCTGCATCCCTGGTGTCTCATTCCATATCTCACAAGGGGATGGGCAGCCCAGTCTTCCCACGGCAGGGAGCTCAGTGGAAACCAGGACTGGAGATTCTGGCCTTTGTGGGGCCAAGGAGGAGTGAGGCCTAAGAACAGCCTGGCTCACTGCAAGTCCAGGAATGGACTAGAGTGTGTGGTGTGGCTAAGGGGGATGGTTCACCCAAACTCTTTATATATCCAAGGAAGAAAAGCCCACCTCAAATGGGGAGAACTGCAAGAAGCCAGCTGTCAATTCCAGGGACAGCGTCCGGGAAAGAGTCAGCTTGCTTTTAATCCCTGATGGGAACAGAAAGGCAAGCAGGCCTCCAGGGTGTGGACAGGGGCTCAGCACCTCACCGGGATTTAGAGACCCGAGATTTGTGCAGCACTTGGGGATGGAGAGTGGAGTGTAGACTCGCCTCTCTGCAGAGACGAGATGGCAGTTGATATAGTTTGGATGTGTGTCCCTGCCCACATCTCTATTGAAATGTCATTTTCATTCTTGTTGCCCAGGCTGGAGACCAATGGTGCGATGTCTGCTCATCGGAACCTCCCAATCCTGAGTTCTCCGAGTAGCTGGGATTACAGGCCCGCCACCAAGCCCAGCTGATTTTTTTAATTTTTAGTAGAGACCAGATTTTTCCATATTGGCCAGGATGGTCTCGAACTTCTGACCTCAGATGCTCCGCCCGCCTCGGCCTTCCAAGGCATTGGGATTACAGGCGTGAGCCACTGCGCCTGGCCCCCTATCTTTGCTTTTCGAGTGAGGCCACCACCTGGAATAAAGTTTTTAAGTAGTTTTTAAAAACAAAGGCATCAACATCAGAGTTTGGTCTTCCAGTTCTAAAAACGTGCTGGTGTTGTGTTCGCAGCCGTGGCTGCACGGCCTCCAGCTCTGGGAGCTCGATCCCAAGCAGAAGAGGGATCAACAAGGGGTCCACACCAGACTCATGCACCGCCCAGCCACAGGAAATCGGCGGGGTGCCTATCAGACTGGGAATCAGCCAGGAAGCCGCTGCTACCAACGCTGGGCAGGAGCGCCCTCTCCCGGAGGGGGAAGGAACCTCCTCATGAAATGGGACTTCGAACCACTGACTTCCTCATTTGCAGACTTCCCTTCCAGCTCCAGGTGCAAAAGATTGCTCAGGACGTCTAAGCAGACCCGCGATTCCCAAGCAGGTCTGTCGGTGCTCTGCAGGGGGTAAGTGCGGAGGAGCTGGGTGGGGCTTTTAAAGTCACGGACCCTGTGCAGTCCACGCCCACGTGGCTCAGTCCTTGCAGGAGACGCCCCAAGCTCGCCCAGGCTGGAGAGCGCGCCTAGGAACCCACCGTGTTGTGCTCCATGACACTGCAGGATGGCTATCCTTAACAATGACATAGGGTTTCCACTAGCTAGAGGGAGGAGAGTGAGTGTCCCCGACACCCAGACGTGAATAACGGACGTGCTAATACCCTAACCGAATCGCTACCCATTAAACCTCTACTGCGGTCTCCACGTGCCCCCTGAGTATGCACAAGAGCTATTTGTCAATTAAAAGGAAATTAAATAGACACCTTAGGAACCTATTTGAATCTATTAAATATTTGCAATAAAAAATCCACTGTAATTGGAAACATCTTTGTGTAAAAAAAACACTCTTTCCAATAACCGTTAGAGTTAAACACGAGATTTTATTTTGGCATAGGGTTACACAGTACATAGTGTATGATTGGGGGTGAAAGAATTCAATGCAGAAATCAGCTACTGGTGTTTTTCCATTTTCATTTATTTGTGAATTTTAAAAGCAAATTTAATGGATAAATAATAATTGTATATATTTATTGGGTGTATTGTGCTAATTTGATATATGCATATGCTGTGGAAATTTAAAGCTGATCATATTAACATATCGATTACTGACCTACTTAACACTTTTTTGATGAGGATAATTGAAATCACTCTTTCCAGTTTTGCATGTTAATAATATCCTTATTTTTTACCATAGTCACACTGCTCTACCATATCTCAAAAAGATTAGTCCTCCTGCCTAACTGAATCATTGTACATGGATTTTTAATATAAATGTGGGGGAGGTAAAATATTAATGCAAATAAAAATGTTTCAGGAAACAAGTTCCAGCAGTTCCATTTCACGACAGTGGTAACTCGATCTCCTAAAAGCTTTGTGTGCAATATCAACTTTTGGATCTTTTGAAAGGAAGCCAATTGCTTCTTGATGGCAAAACCAAACAAAAACATGGTGTTTTCAGAGAAAGAGAGAACAAGCAATTGACCCACAGGACGTGGCAGGACGTGAACCTGAGAATACGTCATTCCTGTCTCCTAATCCTTCTTTTCTTCCTCTTCATTCTCCCAGTTTCTTCCTCAGATGAGATTATCTTGAGAAATCCCATGTGAGTTTTGAGAATATACATTTTGACCTCAGTATTCTCTTCCCCACACCACCACTGCACCCACAGGCAGAAGGATCTTGAAATGCAGAAAGGGCGACTGTTCTTTGTCACAGGAGGGGTTCGGGAAGCCGGTGGGTGAGAAACCCACCTGCATAGGACACATGGACCCCACACCCTGATATCTCTCTGTGAGAATTCTTGGGAACACTCCGGTGTCGGGCTGTTCTTGCATTGCTATAAAGAAATACCTGAGGCTGGGTCACATATAAAGAAAAGAGGATCAATTGGTTCACGGTTCAGCGAGCTGTACCGGAAGCATGGCAGCGTTTGCTTCTGAGGAGCCCTCAGGGAGCTTTTACTCATGGTGGAAGGCAAAGAAGGATTAGGCATTTCACATGGCAAAAGCGAGTGAGGAGGCAGGTGCCACGCACCTTTAAATGCCCAGACCTTAAGAGCTCTCACTCACTCTGGAAAGGACACAACCGGGGGGAGCATGCTAAACAATTCATGAGAAAACCACCCCCATGATCCAATCAACTCCCACCCGGCCCCAGGTCAAACACTGGGGATGACATTTCAATAGGAGATGAGGGCGGGGACACACATACAAACTGTATCAGCTGCCATCTCATCTCTGCAGACAGGCAAGTCTACACTCCATCCTGAATCCCCAAGTGCTGCCCAGAACTTGGGTCTCTAAATCCCGGTGAGGTGCTGAGCCCCTGTCCACACCCTGGAGGCTGCTTGCCTTTCTGTTCCCATCAGGGATTAAAAGCAAGATCCACTGACTCTTCTGGACGCTGTCCCTGGAATTGACAGTTGGCTTCTTGCAGTTCTCCCCATGTGAAGTGGGCTTTTCTTCCTTAGATATATAAAGAGTTTGGGTGACCCATCCTCCTTAGCCACACCACACACTCTAGTCCATTCCTGGACTTGCAGTGAGCCAGGCTGTTCTTAGGCCTCACTTCTCCTTGGCCCCACAAAGGCCAGAATATCCAGTCCTGGTTTCCACTGAGCTCCCTGCCGTGGGGAGACTGGGCTGCCCATCCCCATATGAGATATGGAACGAGACACCAGAGATGCAGGCTTATGTATGAACATTGTAGACAGGCAGAAAATCTGTATGTTGTTCAAAATACATAGTTCTAGGTCATACTAAAAATTATGGGAAGGGCAAACAGGAAATTATATTATTTGTTTTGGATGCTCACAGGTGTGATAAAATGAAAGTGCTAGAAACAGAATAACAATTGGAGAAAGAGGGAGAGGTAATTAGCTTATATGTGATTACACCACAATTAGGTTAGCCAGGGGGAATGGCTTCGAGCTCTTCGGTAGCACAAATGCCAGCAGGAGAAGGGACCTTCCCCTCAGTGCTCTCTGCTCCCTTCCTCATGGAAGCTCCACTGTGAAGAGTGGAGTCTGCCAAAGGTCCGCTTACCTGAGTGGCTGCTGCAGGGAAGGAAGACAACAGGTTGTTCTATTACCATTTTGGGTGTTGGTTTATCCCAACAGGAGAAATAGGAGAGAGAAAGCTCTGTACTGGCTGGTTTTAGATGTGGAGGTAAAGATGACTTAATTGCTTAATAGTATTTCTTAGGACAGAGCCTGATTCAAAAACCATTTCAGAAACATTAATGATCAAAAACATATATTAAAAAAAGACAAAAAGAAGAAAAACAAAACTCAAAATAAAAAAATTAAAAACAAAATCTTTTTTTTTTTTGAGACGGAGTTTCGCTCTTGTTACCCAGGCTGGAGTGCAATGGCGCGATCTCGGCTCACCGCAACCTCCGCCTCCCAGGTTCAAGCAATTCTCCTGCCTCAGCCTCCTGAGTAGCTGGGATTACAGGCACGTGCCACCATGCCCAGCTAATTGTTTGTAGTTTTCGTAGAGACGGGGTTTCACCATGTTGACCAGGATGGTCTCGATCTCTTGACCTCGTGATCCACCCGCCTCGGCCTCCCAAAGTGCTGGGATTACAGGCTTGAGCCACCGTGCCTGGCTAACAAAATCTTAATGATTAAGTAAAGGTCAACATTTGTAGGCCGGGCGCAGTGGCTCATGCCTGTAATCCAAGCACTTTGGAGGCCAAGGTGGGCGGATCACCTGAGGTCGGGAGTTCATGACCAGCCTAACCAACATGGTGAAACCCCGTCTTAAAAAAAAAAGGTCAACATTTGCAAGGAAAGCTTACCCATCACCCTGAATTGTGTGAGTGCTGGATGAGCAGGGATGGAGACCTGGTGCCTTCAACAAACAAGCTTTTATTTTTATGTATTTATTTATTTAGAAACGGAGTTTTCCTCTTGTCCAGGCTGGAGTACCATGGGGGGATCTCAGCTCACTGCAACCTCCGCCTCCCAGGTTCAAGCAATTCACCTGCCTCAGTCTTCCGAGTATCTGGGACTATATTGCAGCTCGGACTACGGGCACACACCACCACACCCTGCTAATTTTTTGTATTTTTAGTAGAGATGGGGTTTCACCATGTTCGTCAGGCTGGTCTCGAACCCCTGACCTCGTGATCCACCTGCCTTGGCCTCCCAAAGTGCTGGGATTACAGGCATGAGCCACTGCGTCTGGCCAGCTGTTAAATAAGAGATTTCTTCACTTACCTTTTATTCCAGTATGCTCATTAACCTTTGCTAGGAGCTGGTAAAAATTCAAGGTCCTGAGCCTCTACCCATAGATGAAGCCCAGCAAGACCTAGGCTGTGGGCGCCCAATCCATAATGGTGCTGTAAAGAATGGTTCTATTTAAATATGTAGTTAAAAATGTTTGTTCACCTCTCAATTTTGGTGATTTGGATTTTGAAGAGGAAAGCACACTTTCTTCTAATTTTTCAAGTGTGTTTGCTCCATTTTCTGTCCTCCACAGGGAAACAGAATCCCTCAGGCAGGACCAGCACAGATGGACCCCAACACGCTCTCCATGGAACAGGGGAAGGAGTTCTTAAAGCAGTGTGGGATCCCACAAAGAGATGTGAGTACGGGAGCTGGGGCCACCTGGGATGCAGGTGGAATGGGGGAGTCCAAGCCTCAGTCAAGGCTGCAGCAGGCTCTCCGCCCATGTCCCAGTCACATTCAGGGTTCTGCAACCTCCATACATCGGCACTGACCCATTAAAATAGATATGTAATTCCTCACGGGGATACGGGAAAGTGCCAACCCACCCCAACCCCGCCCCTTGGTTCTCACCTGGGAAGAGCAGCACTTCCCAATATGCTGGGCTCTCCCTCTTGGTGCCATTTGAAGGTCATCAGCAAACTCCTCATGGGCTGTGGAGTAAAGAACTGAGATTACCTTTGCATCGTCATAGCTTAGCTCCCACATGAGTGAGAACATACGGTGTTTGGTTTCCCATTCCTGAGTTACTTCCCTTTGAATAACAGTCTCCAATCCCATCTAGGTTGCTGCAAAGCCCATTAATTTATTTCTTTTTATGGCTGAGTAGTATTCCAAAGTGTGTGCGTGTGTGTATACACATATATACACGCACATATATATCTCCATTGCATATGTGTATATATATATATATATTCCATTCTCTATGTGTATATATATATATACACATATATATACACACACATATATATATCTCCATTGCGTATGTGTATATATATGTATTCCATTCTCTGTGTGCGTGTGTGTGTGTGTGTGTGTGTGTATCAATCACATCACAGTGCCGTTATCCAGTTGTTGATTAATGGGCATTTGGGCTGGTTCCATATTTTTGCAATTGCGAATTGTGCTGCTGTAAACATACGTGTGCAAGTATTATTTTCTCTCTTTTTTTTTTTTCTGAGAGTCTTGCTGTGCCACCCAGGCTGGAGTGGAAAGGCGAGATCTTGGCTCATTGCAACCTCCGCCTCCTGGGTTCAAGCGATTCTCCTGTCTCAGCCTCCCAAGTAGCTGGGATTACAGGCATGCGACACCATGCCCAGCTAATGTTTGTATTTATAGTACAGACGGGGTTTCACCGTGTTGGTCAGGCTGGTCTCGAACTCCTGACCTAGTGATGCACCCATATCGGCCTCCCAAAGTGCTGGGATTACAGGCGTGAGCCACCGTGCCCAGCCACAAGTACCTTTTTCATATGACTTCTTAAAAAAAAAAAAAAAGGAGGGCCGGGCGTGGTGGCTCAAGCCTGTAATCCCAGCACTTTGGGAGGCCGAGGCAGGTGGATCACGAGGTCAAGAGATCGAGACCATCCTGGTCAACATGGTGAAACCCCGTCNACTGCAACCTCCGCCTCCTGGGTTGAAGCAATTCTCCTGCCTCAGCCTCCTGAGCAGCTGGGATTACAGGTGTGTGCTACCATGCCCAGCAAGACCTAGGCTGTGGGCGCCCAATACATAATGGTGCTGTAAAGAATGGTTCTATTTAAATATGTAGTTAAAAATGTTTGTTCACCTCTCAATTTTGGTGATTTGAATTTTGAAGAGGAAAGTACACTTTCTTCTAGTTTTTCAAGTGTGTTTGCTCCATTTTCTGTCCTCCACAGGGAAACAGAGTCCCTCAGGCAGGACCAGCACAGATGGACCCCAACACGCTCTCCATGGAACAGGGGAAGGAGTTCTTAAAGCAGTGTGGGATCCCACAAAGAGATGTGAGTACGGGAGCTGGGGCCACCTGGGACGCAGGTGGAATGGGGGAGTCCAAGCCTCAGGCAAGGCTGCAGCAGGCTCCCTGCCCATGTCCCAGTCATATTTAGGGCTCTGCAACCTCCATACACCGGCACTGACCCATTAAAATAGATATGTAATTCCTCACGGGGATACGGGAAAGTGCCAACCCACCACGCCCCCGCCCCTTGGTTCCCACCTGGGAAGAGCAGCACTTCCCAATATGCTGGGCTCTCCCTCTTGGTGCCATTTGAAGGTCATCAGCAAACTCCTCATGGGCTGTGGAGTAAAGAACTGAGATTACCTTTGCATCGTCATAGCTTAGCTCCCACATGAGTGAGAACATACGGTGTTTGGTTTCCCATTCCTGAGTTACTTCCCTTAGAATAACAGTCTCCAATCCCATCTAGGTTACTGGGAAGACCATTAATTTCTTCCTTTTTATGGCTGAATAGTATTCCATTGTGTGTATATATACACACATGTATATGTACCACAGTGTTTTTATCCACCCATTGATTGATGGGCATTTGGGCTGGTTCCATGTTTTTGCAATTGCAAATTGTGCTGCACATCTGCAAGTATCTTTCCTTCTTTCTTTTTTTCTGAGACAAAGTCTTACTCTGTTGCCCGGACTGGAGTGCAGTGCTACAATCTTGGCTCACTGCAAACTCTGTCTCCCAGGTTCAAGCGATTCTCCTGCCTCAGCCTCCCAAGTAGCTGGGATTATAGGCATGTGCCACAAGGCCCAGCTAATTTTTGTATTTATAGTACAGATGGGGTTTCACCGTGTTGGTCAGGCTGGTCTCGAACTCCTGACCTAGTAACGTACCCACATCGGCCTCCCAAAGTGTTGGGATTACAGGCGTGAGCCACCGTGTCCAGCCACAAGTATCTTTTTCATATGACTTTGCTTTAAAAAAAAAAAAAAAAAAGGAAACAAAGAAATGTGAGACTGTCCAGCATTACCTTTAAACACCTCAGGAAGTTAGGAGTTCTCCCTCTCCTATGCCGAGGCTTCATCCTGCCTGCAGAACCCAAGCTGCATCTGCATTCTCCTTTCTCTGCTTTAGATTGATTTGATGACAGAGAAATGGGTTGTTCTCGCCTCTGTGGAGGTTCTTCTACGATTTCCTCTGAAGTCAGGAGAGGATCCAACCGCCCGCTGTGTCTCCAATAAAAGATGCCAGCCTTCCGTGGACCGGCCATCCACAGTTTCACAAAGATGTGGATACCGAGAGGAGAGGTAAGACAAGTTCTAGGGATTAAGGTGGGGGCGGTCTGGGGGACTCCCCAAAGCACAGTGTGGACTCAAGGTTTCTGCCTGAACAGGCCTGGGGGCTTCTGTTCTGTGTGCCCCCCCCATGAGATGGGCTGTGATGTGTGCGATGCCTGGCGTGAACCTGCACATACGGGTCAGTATCGCAGGCATCCTCAGAGGGCTGGTCCTCACTAGGCTTTGTGCCTGCCTCCGTGTGAAAAGCGGTGTGTGGTCACAGGGGTCTCATGTGAAACGTCACCAGTGCCCATAGGCTGACTATGAAAGCTTTGCAAAGCTTTGAGCTTCTGGTTGGTTTTCTGAGTGAGAAGCTATTCTATAAAATAGTGGGCTTTCTGGAAATACCTGGAAAAAGATCAGTAGTCGTTGGCTGTTCATCTGTTGCCATTGATAAATACGGTAGAGAGTTTCAGCTCTGAGGCACTGACTGCATGTGAGCTCAGAGCCCAGGAAACCTTCATTCACGGCTGCAAGTCTCACTTCACCCTCTAAACATCAAGTGGCCTTTGGTTTATAAAATCTGTGTCCTGTTCTGGGAGTAGGTCAGGGAGAGAATCACAAAATAACACAGCAGGGAGCTGGGTCCAGAGAGGACCAAGTTCCGTGGGTGTGACTCAGTGGCCAGTGCATCCCTCCATCCCTACTTGGGTAGGAGGGACTTTCTTCTGGTGTCTGTGTAATGTTTTGTCATTTTCTTATGACTAGGAAACCCAACAGCCAATTAATGAAGAAGACTGATCAGAAACTCAAGGACCTGCCGCAGACGGCAAGTGATTCCATCTGTCATCAGGCTCAGAGGCCACCCACAGCCAAGAACCCACAGAAGCAGCAGAGGAAACCCGTGGGGCCAAGGGCTCCCCCAGCAGATGAGGAGGAATCCAGGGTCAGTCGGGGCTTGAAAATGTGGGAAACCAAGGTGTCTGCATGGATCCCAGAGGGTGGGCTTGAACATGGGACCTGTGGGTATGACAGGTGTTCCCACTGGTCTCAGGCTGACTGCTCTGTGCTCTCCTATGCTGGCAGACTGGCGCATTCTCCGTCCAGTGTCATGTCCAGCCTGGTGTTTGCCACATCCTCAAACTGGTTCATTTTCTTCACCCTCATCCTTCCTCCTGGGATCCCTGTGTTAAATGGGCTCTGGGGAGGACGATCACATCTTGAATGTCCTGGCTACCAACAGCCCATGGGCGTATGTCTCCCTCCCAAAATAATCCACCTCCAAAACCCAGGCCTTCTATGAACCTTTGAAGGTGCCCGTGATTGCTGTTGACTCACTGACTCCCAACCTCCTCCACCTGCAGGTGAAATGCAAGAACTGTGGGGCCTTTGGGCACTCAGCCAGGAACACAACCTGCCCCATGAAGAGGTGGAGTGGGGCCCTTCCTCTGCAGCCCCTGGGCTCACACAAGGAGAAGGAGAACCTGAAGACAGCAAAGCCTCAGCTACCCCAGGCTCCAGGGTCCTTTCTGAGGGATGACAGAGAAAAGGAGCCAGGTTCAAGGTGAGGATTCTGCAGGGTCAAGGAGGACGCGTGATGCCAGAGCCTGAGGAGATGGCGTCTCCCCAGCTGTGTGCAGCCTTCTCTAGGCACAGGCAGGAAAGCTGCACATGGCGGTGGATGGAGGCCCCTGCCTTCCAGGGCCCACAGTCCCAGCTCATTCCAGCACCGAGTGTCTAGAGGGCAGGGCTGTGGGAGACCTGGGGATGTTGCCCCTGGCAGGCAGAGCAGCACCAGGGTCTGAGTGAACTTCGGGAAGCTGGGCCGTGGCAGGGAGGGGGCTTCCTGAAGTGGGGCTGCTTCTCAGATGAGAGAAGGGGCCGTCTTGGCAAATTTCACAGAGGTCTCAATGCCTCCCTCACCCAAAGCAAGGGCTGGGACTGGGCTCCGGGAGGGCGCTTGGCTCCCAGTCACAGGTGTGGACAGGAGGGTCAGGCGGGTCCAGACAGTGAAGGTGATTTCTTCTGCAGGCCCCAGCAGCAGAAGCAGAGCAAAGCTCCCACGCAGACACTTCCCAGGACGCCCCAAGAGAAAGTGCAGGGACGCTGGGAGGAGCCAGAGGAAGACTGTTGGTACCTGAGGGTGAGTCTCCCCCCACCCCTGCTCTGCTCTTCTCCTGGGTCCCCTGATTCCTTCACTTCTGTGCCCCTCGTGGGTGGGATTATGCTGAGACCCAGGCAGCCCTGCAGGAAAACTGCGGTGAGTACTTCACACACTCCAGTTTCCAGCTTCTTGATTTGGACATTGGTTTCTGTGCCTTTATTTGCAGCAGCATCTGCTGGGCACATTTCAGTGCCCGTGGGGAGTGATGGATCAGGTGCCTTAGGGATATGGATGCAGAGAAGGCATCTCCTTCATTTTTATTATTTTTTAAAAAGACAAGGTTTCACCATGTTGGTCAGGCTGGTCTTGAACTCCTGACCTCAGGTGATCCGCCCGCCTTGGCCTCCAAAGTGCTTGGATTATAGGCATGAGCCACCACGCCCGGCCGCATCTCCTTCATTTTTATACATGTTCTTAAATCTGCTTTCAAAAGGAGCTCTGCCATTTCCAGTCTCCATGTTGTGTGGGGAATTGATAGTCCCTTGATATTACCAACAGACAACATACAGACAGTTATTGTTTTCAAATCCCATCATCACAGCAAACTTAATGGTAGGCTTCCTTTCCCCCACAGGATTCCTGAAGTGAGAATTCTGCACAGACTCAGTGAGCATGTGTACATCCTTTTCTGTGAAGTTTAATTTCATCTATCCTGTCTCCTTATGTAGGGTCTTCCCTATATTTCTTCCAGATTTAGAAGCAATCCCAGTGTGTGTTATTCTCCTCTGTTTCTGATGTCAGCCTGTCCATTTTCCTCTGTACTAGCTGGCTTCTGGTTTTCACACAGTTTCTGCTGGGATGTGGTTGCACACGTTAGCTCCCTGTTTCACGGGGTTTGGTGATTCTCCTGGTGAGCTGTCTCATGTGGGGTGCTTTCTCCTGCAGCACCCTACCATGCCACTGCCGGTGCACATCACCAAGAAGAGATCTGTCCAGGGCCCTGGGCCCACAGGTCCACCGCCTCCCATCAAGACACCCGGGACGAGATTACTCTGCCCTTCGGGTCACAACAAACAACCAGAACTGAGCAGCTGTGGACCCACCCAGGGACATGGTGGGGACATTACTGCCTTCCAGCTCCCTGCTCTGAAGAGCTCCCACCAGGTCTCCGGTCTCAGCGCCAGGCCACCAGCCAACAGGCCTGAAGCGTCCTCCCACAGTGCTCTCCAGCCTGCCATGAAGGCATTTGCCCTGGGTCCTGGCCTTAAATCCCAGGCAGAAATCAGGCCCGATGCAAATGCAAAACCCAGATCACAGCAGGTCAGAAAAAAGTGTGGCCAAGAAACCAGAACCCAGGCAGCGGGCAAGAAGCGTGTCCAGGTCCCCATCCAGACTTCCCAGAACCCCACAAAGAAAGCAAGACTCAGCTCCTTCCCGACCCCCGCACTGAGAACTCAGCTCCCTGATGTGGGCGCTGTGCAGCCTCTCCAGCTTCCCTCCATGGCAACTGGACTTGGACCCAAACAGGTACCCAAGGCCACCACAAAGACAGCAGCCACTAAGACAGCAACTGGACACCCCAGAGTCAACCTCCAGTCCCCTGAAGCCAGCTCACCTTTCCTGGGCCCAGCGCAGGGCTGCCCCGTCCTCCAGCCTGAGCCTCCCATTCCTGTTCCAGGGAGGCCTGGCAGTGTCACCTTCATGAGAGGGGGCCAGGGACAGGAGAAGTCCAGGTTCAGAACGCCCCCCACATCCTGTCCTCCCGAGGACTGGACTTCTGGTCAGAGCCTTCACTTCTCAAGGGAGTCTGAGGGGCAGGGTCCCCAGGTCTCAAGGAGTGTCCTCTATGAGGACCTTCGGGTCACTTCTTCCTCTGAGGACAGTGACAGTGACTGACGCCCCCAAGACAGGAAAACCTTGCCTCAAGCCCATGTGACTTGGGAGTGGCTGAAAGGCTGAGAAGGGGAGAGGCAGGAGGCAGCCCCTTGTGGGGTCACTGCTGCAGTGCTTGTGCAAATGCAGACCCCAGATTCTATTGGGGACCAATGAACCCTGCCTACTTACATTATGTACATTTTCCTGTATTTAATATGGGGCTTATGAAAGGGTCCTATAAATTAAGTTTTCAGTTGCATATCATTATATGAGAAACTGGGTCAACATAAGAAAACAGTATTCCAAATTAGCTGGGAGTGGGGGTGCGCACCTGTAATCCCGGTTACTCGGGAGGCTGAGGCAGGGGAATCACTGGAACCTGGAGGCAGAGTTTGCAGTGAGCTGAGATCACTCCACTGCACTCCAGCCTGACAGAGTGAAACTGTTTCAAAAATAATAATAGAAGAAAGAAAACAGCATTTCACCACTAGTGTCAATAGAAAGCTTTGAAATTCATCTGAGGGAGGGAGCCAACCCCTGAATTTTGAGTCCTTCAATGGTTGTGTAAAGGTCAGTATCTCCTGAATCTAGAATTTTTTATTGTTAAGGAGAGCTGCAGTGAGAAACTCTTAGCCTTGGAAAAATAAGGATTTTTTTTTTCTTGGAGGAATTTTTTTTTTTAAATTTTAAGACAGAGTCTTACTCTGTCACCCAGACTGGAGTGCAGTGGCACAATCTTGGCTCACTGCAACCTCCTGGGTTCAAGCAATTCTCCTGCCTCAGCCTCCTGAGTAGCTGGGTTTACAGGCGCGTGCCACCACGCCTGGCTAATTTTGTATTTTTAGTAGAGACAGGGTTTTGCATTGTTGGCCAGGCTGGTCTCGAACTCCTGACTTCCAGTGATGTGCCCACCTCAGCCTCCCAAAGTGCTGGGATTACAGGTGCGAGCCACCATGCCCAGCTGACTGTGTTTTTTAATCAGTGAATTCAAGCATTTAAGAAACTGTGCTTTGTATCTTGTACATTTTTCCTGGATATCCAAAAAGAGAAACACTCCATTTATTTTATGAAACTATGAAGACACTAATTTCCATTGTGATGGAAAGGATGTCTCAGCTAGCACATGTATAAAGTTGAGTTACCAGTATTCTCAATGTTGGAGTTATGCAGCAGATTCAAAAAGTCATGCAAAGTGAATGGTAAAATATATCTTACATTGTTATTATCATGCTACGAGTAAATATAGACTAACTTCAACTTTGTAAATGAATTTCACTTACAATGATGTATTCTACGAGCCTTGGAACTTTTCTTATTAAAAGTCATTGTAAAATTCATTGGTTAATTTATTTCCATATCAATAAAATTCTCTGAACTATGACACGTCTTACAGGTGTTCTGAGTTTTCCTTTCCACTTCAAGCCAATCTCCTTTCCTTTTAATCATGGTGTTTCATTTACTCGAGTGAAGAGGACTTGGTGCCTATTGTGTCAACTAGAGACCCGTAGCTTCTAAGAAACACAAACCCGCGGGCACAGGCCACCCCTCTGAGTGAGTACCTGCAGTTTAATAACAACCCCAGCTGTTTCACATGTGGGTTAAAGTGTGATAAGCACGGAAATTGACTGACTCTCAATTTGGTTCCACCTCAGAATCTCCTGGTGAGCTTCAACTGCTCCTCCCGGCTGGGTCCCACCCTTGGAGACCGTCATGTTCTAAGTCCTGTGTGAGCCTGGATGTAGGGATGGGTAGATCCTTTGTGGTTAAGTCAAACGTGGGGTGACGGTTAGGAAATGCTGGAGGGAGAGGGCGAAGACACTGCTTCCCTCACCCACCTCCTCCCGCTTCACCTTGTGAGGAAACTCTCCTGAGGCCAGAAAGATTAGAGGGCTCTGAGGCTGGGGTTTCAGTCTCAGGGGAGCGTCCCGTCTCTCTAAGACCTGGTCCCTAAGAAGCATGGATGGAAGCCTCCAGGCTGCCTCCTGGATGGGGGCTGGAAACCATGAAAATATAAAGAGTGATCTGGAAACTCAGGTTGAACTCCTTCAGCGTGCTCTAGTGGGGTGATTTTTAAAATACATGTCACATGGGAGTCATTTCTTCAACCTTCGGCAGCCAATTTGCTGTACAATTTCCCTGATACAGAAGTTACACTCCAGCATGTTGTGTTTAGGGCACACTGGTTTCTCTATCAGCTCTGTGCTGACCTGAATTGAAGAAACTGCAGTTGTATTTTTTAATATTTATTTATTTATTTATTTGAGATAGAGTCTTGCTCTATAAACAGGCAGGAGTGCAGTGGTATGATCTCAGCTCATTGCAACCTCTGCCTCCCAGGGTCAAGTGATTCTCCTGCCTCAGCCTCCTGAGTAGCCGGGATTACAGGCACCTGTGACCACNGAGGAGGAGGAGGAGGAGGAGGAGGAAGAGGAGGAGGAGGAGGAGGAGGAAGAGGAGAAAGAGAAGAAAGGGAAGGAAGGAGAAAGAGGACAAGGAGAAGGGAGGGAAGGAAGGAAGGAAGGAAGGAGGAAAAGAAGGAAGAAAGGATAAAGGGCGATCTAGAAACTCAGGCTGAACTCCTCCAGCGTGCTTAAGTGGGGTGATATTTAAATATATGTTACATGAGAGTCCTTTCTTCAACTTGGGGCAGCCAATTTGCTGTGCAAACCATTTCTCTGATACAGAAGTTACACTCTAGCGGGCCGCGCCACACGGTCCCAGGCAGCCTGTGTGAAGTGCAGGGATATAGGTGGGGCGAGCACGGGGGCTGCCAGGGTAGAGGGAGGTTTTATCTTTTGATTCTTCACCCTGTGTTCTCTGAAGCTTCCCTCTTCTGCTTGTAATTTCTTTTCTTTATCTTTTTTTTCTTTGAGATGGAGTCTCCCTCTGTCACCCAGGCTGGAAGGCAGTGGTGCGATCTCTGCTTACCTCAACCTTCGCCGCCTGGGTTCAAGCAATTCTGTCTCAGCCTCTTGAGTTGGGATTACAGGCTTGCACCAACATGCCTGGCTAATTTTTTTTTTTTTTTTTTTTTTTAGTAGAGATGGGGTTTCACCGTGTTAGTCAGGATGGTCTTGATCTCCTGACCTCGTGATCCACCCACCTCAGCCTCCCAAAGTGCTGGGACTACAGGTGTGAGCCACCATGCCTGGCCTGAGTAATGAAATTTATAGAAGAAATCAGAGGGGTACATCTCTGTGGTGTTAGAATAGGAAAATTATTCTGACACAGGGGAAAATTATACAAGTGTGGAAATGACAATTTCTATTATATTAAATTTAAGAGTTTATCTTCATCCAAAGAAAGGCAATGAAAGAGAAAGAGAGGTAAAGAGAACCAAGAAAAATGTTAAATCCAGGATCTATAAAGTACTCCAATAAATCAGCAAGAAAAAGAAACACAAGACAATTGAAAAAGTGGAAAAATTAACAAAAAGACATTTCAAAACAAAACAAAAAAATACTAAAACCTTCTTAAACATGTGAAAAGGCAACAAATTTCTTAGTAATCCAAAAATTCAAATAAAACCAATTCCTAAGACCATCACACACCAACAAAGACTAAAATGAAAATGACTGAAATCATTAAGTATTTACAGAATGTGGATCAACCACGAATCTCATATACTGCTGGTGGGTTTCAGAATTGATTTATGAAAAAAAAGAAAAACATCTTGGAAATATTCCACAGTTTCTAATGCAGTTGAACAGAGGTAAATCTATGGTTTAACATTTTCCCTACCATGTAAATACCCAACAGATATTCATCCAGGGTCACCAAAGAAGAGTTCTATATTTGTATACTAGAGCCTTTTGTCTGTGTTTGTGTGATAGGGTCTTGCTCTGTTGCCCAGGCTGGAATGCAGTGGTGAGATCTTGGCTCACTGCAACCTCTGCCTCCCGGGTTCAAGCAATTCTCCTGCCTCAGCCTCTAGAGTAGCTGGGTGGTTCTTACAGGCAAGAACCACCATGTCTGGCTAATTTTTTTGTCTGTTTTTAGTAGAGACGGGGCTTCACCATGTTGGTCAGGCTGGTCTCGAACTCCTGACCTCGTGATCCATCCGCCTTGGCTTCCCAAATTGCTGGGACTACAGGCTTGAGCCTCAGTTCCCAGCCACCAGTACCATTTCTTTTAGACCAAGCTGAAAACCACTCACATAAATATCAATTAAATAAGTCAAATTTAATCAACCATTAATTTAACTTGATTAATTTAATTAACAGTGGAGTGATTAAATGAATTAATATACACACAAAGGAGTCTCATATGGCAATGGTAACAAATAATCCACATCATGTAATAATACCAATACATTTAGAAATGATACAAGGAACAAAAAAATTAAGTTATTACATATTACTTAATTTTATAATATAAAAAATATTCTGAGACTTGTCTGTCCTTTTATAAATTAGAATCATGATTATCCAGTGAAGGCAGCGACTGGTGGGAGCAAAGTGTGACTTTGAGTTTTTAAAAAGCGATTTTGCCATTTTTGTAAGGACATTTTATGACAGAATACCATCTACCCGACGTGTACTGACATGGAAAGACTTCAAAGGTGTACTGAGAGTCAATGCTAGTGGCAAAGCATATATATTGTATAAGCCAGATCAAGGTGTGTGTATTTTGTATATGCATGAATCAAAAGGTTGGAAAGATAAGCACCAAATTGTTAAATGTGGTTTCTTTTGAGGCAGTTGGGGGGATGGGTCCCAGAGGGGGTTCATAGAGACCTTCCACTTTCTAATTTTTTTTTCATTTTGTTCTAGTTTTTTAATAAGGTTGAATTCCTTTTGTATTCGGAAGTTCTAGAAAGTATTTGATTGATTTAAAATCTTAGGCATGATCAAAAGCCTGCAAATCTAAATCGCTCAGCATTAGTTTTTTTACTAACTAGTTATTTAGTAATTAACTAGTTAGTTAATTACTAAGTTAAGCTAAATTACTAAGTGTGATTCTTTAAATCAACAGTTGATTTAAATGAATAAGTGATATTCATTTAAAGCACTGCAAATGTA